AAAAAAAAAAAAAAAAAAAAAAGGAGCCCGGCCAGGCATGGCTCAGGGATTGAGCATCGACCTAGGATCCAGGTGATCGGGGTTCAATTCCCGGTCAGGGCACATGCCCTGGTTGCGGGCTCAATCCCCAGTCGGGGGCCTGCAGGAGGCAGCCGATCAATGACTCTCTCATCATTGATGTTTCTATCTCTCTCTCTCCCTCTCTTTTCCTCTCTCTGAAATCAATACAGATATATTTTTTAAAAGGGGGGGGAAGATGGGACTTTCCCCCCCTACTAAGATCTAGCCTCTCATTTGAAACTGTAAGGCAGTTTTGGGTTGAATAGAATTAAGGTTTTCTACCAGTTACTGTAGTTACCATTAGAACTAGGAAGTGTCATTTTAGGTTATCTATTCCGGATTAGTACCGTAGCTGATCTCTTTGCAGTGATAACAACAAATTCGGTTTATATCAAAAGCATTTGAATTTTAAGTGTTATCAGACACTAGACACCAGATTACCTTTAAACTAATAAGAAAATAAAAGCTTACTAACATTTATTGAGTTCTAACCATGTGTTAGTCATGTTGCCAAGTAATTTAACTCTATTTTATGTAATCCTCTGAACAACCTATGAGATAACAACCTATGAGTGTACATGGTAAAATCTGTAAGTACTAAAGAGCATGGGCCTTTGAGGCAGGCATGAACACATGCAAATAGTATTATAATCCATAGGAATATAAGGTAACAAAGAAGGAGCAATGATTTAAAAAAACCATTAGCCCAAGCCAGGTGGTTTAGTTGGCTGGAGCATCATCTTGTACACGAAAAGGTGGCGGGTTCAATTCTCTGTCAGGGCACGCCTAAGTTGTGGTATGAATATGGAAGGCAACCAATCAGTGTTTCTCTCTCTCTCCTCTTTCCTCTCACTCTGGAATCAATAAAACCATATCCTCAGGTGAGAATTAAAAAACCCCACACACATTAGTGGGTATCCTTTATTGATGCTTTACTATTGCAAATCACCTAGAGGGTGCCAAATTAAATATTTGATGAAAGGAAAAACATACTCTACTAGATACTTTACATACTTTGCAGAGTTTTTATGTATAATGTAAATTTTATTATATCCATTTGTACATTAAGGAGCAGACTCGGAGATGGAGAAACTTGCATGAGATTATTCATTCATTTGTTCTGCAGATACTTCCTAAAGTCCTCACTATGTAGCAGACATAGGGCTAGGTGCTAGGCCTACACCAGTATACAAGTGAGACATAGTTTCTATCACTACAAAGCTTAGTTTACTAGGAAGGATTGAATTAAACAAATAAAACAAGTAAGTTCATACAGTTAGAAAGTATTAGAATCTCAATTCAAACTCATATCTTCTGACTCCAAAACCTGTGCTCTTTCTACACCACCAAGCTGATGCTCTAGCCACCATTTTGTTTACTTAATTTATTTTGTAATTTTTAAGTGGAACATGTTTTATCCTTTCTAGGACAAAAAGGTGAATGAAAGAAATAATTGACTGCCTGCCAAATGTGTCTTCATTCCCTCTCCTTGTCATCTGCTTTTTATTTCCCTTCCTTATCACCTTTTTTCTTTCCCTGATCTGTAGGTGAAGATTCTTTGCTCTAGTGAGTGAATTAGTAGAGGTAAAACTTTAGCAGCTGCCTAGTACTTCTTGCCTAGAGCACAAAGTACTGAAGTCCTACATCTGAAAGGAACTGGTAATAGTATCTTTTTCATCACTTTCATTGTACTTCATCTTTTATATTTTTTTAAATTTATTTTTTAAAACATGTCTTTATTGATTTCAGAGAGAGGAAGGGAGAGGGAGAGAAAGATACATCAGGGATGAGAGAGTCGTCATTGATCAGCTGCCTCCTGCACGCCCCTGACGGGATCAAGCCCTCAACCGGGGCATGTTCCCTGACCAAGAATCGAACCCCGATCTCCTGGATCCTAGGCCGATGCTCAACCGCTGAGGCACGCCCAGCCAGGCTAGAATAACTGTTTTCCATATTTCTCTATCAAAATGGGGAAAGTAGTTATTAGAATACTTTGTTTGTAATTTCCTAAACAAAAAGGTTTTTATAGGGGGGTATAATATAGGTACACTAACAGCTAATATGAGGATGACCACTCTCATGAGGAAGATAGGAAGAGATCCTAAGTACAGGGGCATCATTTTCAATTTTGGTGGCACGGGACTGTGTCAGTTACTAAGCAGTTGTCTCAGCCTTTCCATGCTCCACTTTGTGACAGGGCCTGGTGCTTTGCAAACCACATTTCCGCTTTTCTAGCTGATTACTGCTAAACTCTGTCTGTAGGGGGCTCTCGATGGAGGTTGCCAGGCTGGAGGAGGAGGCAGCACTTGGGCTTCTTTCTTTACTTCCTGTTTATTTCTGGTTCCTTTAAGCAACCTAGCAATGCTGCTTCATCTTACCTGCATCAGTTTTTTCCTGTAGCAGGAATTGAATCTAGTTTGCAGTTTCTCTGATACTTACAGAACCAGCCTGAATTTTTATCTCCTTCCTCAAGGATGTGAATCTCAAACTTTGGGGCCCTCCTCCAAGCTCAGAGATTCTAGTACAAGTCAATCAGTGCCACTGCTTCAGAGGTCTGAATTTCAGTTCCATGGGTTGCTCCTCTAAGCTTCTAAGTTTTAAAAATTCCAGCCTTTTCCCTTGTTCCCCCCATTTTAGGATTGGTGGCTGCTCTCTGTTGTTGCCTACATGCATGATACCTAGTGTTTTTTTCTTGCCTGACTTACCTAGTTACCAATTTTATACTTGATTAACAACCCTTCATATTACATTTTTTTCTATTTTCTTAACTAGTGTTACTTCAATCTCCTGATTAGATCCTGAACGATACTGAGAGGAATCAGGAAAACACTTAGTGGAAAAATAGTATTTCTGTTTGACTTGAAGAAAGAGTAGAATTTTAGTAGGTAAAAATCAGGAAATTTCAATAGAATGAGTATCAGCATGAGTAAAGGTAGTAAAAATGTGAGGGATGGTGTATGTTTGGGAAACATTTTATATTCTAGGTGGTTTATTTTTTGAGCACAAGGTACATGTTACAAAAAAAGATTAGAGAGAGAGATCGGGCAGGCAGTAATTTGGAGGACCTTGAACTACAGGCTGAGGAATTTGGACTTAACTGGCAACAATTAAATGATTTTTTAATAATGACCTGATTAGAAATCTCCTCTAGAAATGTTTGTATAATAAACTCATGACAGATTAAACTTAGGAGTGTAGAGGTTATGCTGAGCATCACTGTTTTCCCACAAAACATTCACTCAGAAAATACTGGGGGCCTATGTATTGGTAATCCAATAATGAACATGAAAACAGTCTCTATTCTCAAGCCTAGGGAAGAAAAAAGATATATACTCAGATAATTAGAGAACAAAGTATGGAAATGCAGAGAGAATTATGGCATATGAAATGGAGCACCAAATATGAACTAGAAGGGTCAAGAAAGAACAACTGATTTGTGTTTTAAATGATGACTGGGAATTGGCCTTGCATAGGAAGGGTACGAGCCAGGCTTAAGGAACAATTGTGAGAAAAGTCAGAGAGGGAGGAGCAACATTGTTCCCTAGCGTTTAATGGGAAATTACATGATCTTCAAGAACAGATTTCTTTTTTTCCCTTCTTCATGTGGTTTTTCTGCTAATGGATGAAATTAAATTGGGAAGGAGCCTTAGTTGCAACAGTGTATGTATTAGCCTGTTGCCACAGTGCATGTATTGCATATGTATACATCTTGGTTTCTAAAATCCTGTGGTTTTTATAGAAGATAGATATGTCAAATGAATGGATTTTAATTATCCCATTTAAATTCAGTTCTTGGTAAGTGTCTTTTCACTAATGCGTATATAGGAAGGTTGTGTGTGTGTTTGTGTGTACACATGTGTGTGTATGTATTTATAGGTGTATTTATAGAGGAAGGAGAGGGATAGAAAAAGAGGTGCATATATACAGAGATGTATCTATCACTAGCTGTGATAGAAACTCAAAAGAAATATCAAGATAGCTCTTGCATTTCATGTATAGTACTTTCCCCTAAGAGTTAGGGGTACTGTGGTAGAGAGCTTTTAAACTACAAAAAAAAATTTGTAGATTGAAAAATGTTTGCATCAAAATTGTAAGTTGAGAGGACAGAAGAATCAAGTGAAACAAAAGGAAAAAAGAAACAAGGATATAGGAACCAAAAAGATAATATTGTGATTTTTCTGTCAACTTTTTCAGCTTCTTTAGTTGAACCAGAGGTCATAAGTTATGTGACATAAAAGGGGGTACAATCTATAAGAGAATCAATCTTGGATAGAGTTCCTGTTCTCCAGATGTACACCAGTTTTAGTGGTTGGGAAATACCCAAACTTGATAATGACTAATTCTGCAATTAACCAAAGTGTGTATGTTGTGGGCTTTTAAAAAATTATTTGTTTTTATGTTTTTGGTGTTTAGGCTAGACAGCAACAAGCGGAACTGGCCCAGCAGGAATGGCTTCAAATGCAGCAAGCTGCCCAACAAGCGCAGCTTGCTGCTGCCTCAGCCAGTGCATCTAACCAGGCAGGATCTTCTCAGGATGAAGAAGATGATGATGATATCTGAAATTCACCAGCTGAGGTTCTATTTCCTCTATATATGTTTTCTCCTGCACAAGAAAACAGTGAACGAAATGCTTATCTGTAATTTTGTATGCATCTTGGTGGACTTGCCACTGGTACCCTAGGGATGTCTGCTATTGATTTTCATCTGTTGTGTGCTATTCATGTGAAAACTGTCTCTTTGAACTATTGAAAATTTAAGGTTCAGTATAATATCAATTTTGAATTTTTAATGGTGTTTATGAGATTTTAGATAGCAGTGAGTCCTTTATTGATCAATAAACAGTGTTACAGAAAACTTCACGTTTATAAAAATACAGTGACATTTATACAGAAACTCTAAATCTTCATTTCCTCTGCCCTTTTAACTAAACTAAAAATTGGGACTTAAATTATTGGGGGAGGGGGTGCTATGTAATGCAGTAGGCATTAGATCAGATTGATAAAAGAATACAGAGTTCAGTTCTGTAGTATCTGGTTTTTTTTGTCTTTTAAAATGAGTATATATACAGCAATAAATATATATATGTATATGCTCAGATAAATATACTTGTTTGAAAGAATTTCAAAACAAGACATTCAAAAACTAGGAAGGGGTGAGGGTATGTTCCATAGTAGTTGTATATGGGTTATGTTTTTCATTTTGTTTTTGTTTTATGTAGAGGTAAAACCTACTGTTTTATTATGGCATAATTCATCTTGAGCTACACTTACATTTCAAAGACTGCCCAATTTTGAGGTCTGTCATGATTCTTACTATTTCACTCCAATAATTGTCAATAGTATTACTTGCTTAGTCCATCCATGTTTATTGGAATTTGTGAAACAATTGCTTAGGTTCTATTGGTTTAACTGGGGTTGATGAATATTCAGACCTTTGCTGGGGGAAAGAAATGAAAGTTAATGAGCATGCTTGCTGTAAAAGAGGGATTTTTTTGTAATTTAACTTATAGTTTAAGTTTACTTATTGTTTGTTTTTAGCATTACTCTTACATTTTCTTGACTAGATGGCCTACAGTGTCCAATGCTTCCTTTTGAAATGACATCATTGTCTCCATCATAGAGTGATAGCTTTAAAAATTGATTTGTTTTGTTTTAAAAAGCATGTCATAACTAATTAGCCCTATATGAAACATAAAATATAGTTTCAACCTGCTCATTAAAAGGGAGGAAGCTTTAATTTGATTCTAATAAATATAAGTATGGTAGTGATTTTTATAGAAATCCAGTGTGTTGAAGAAATGGCATCTTGTTTGTATTTTGGAAACAGAATGGAAAAACCACTTAAGATAGTATGAAGTAATCTAAATTCCTTTGTCAGTTGTCAAGTCATTTAAATTTCTATATTCACCAAGCCCAAGGATAATTTGTTTGTGGCTGCCAGGATTTCAATTTTAATTGGAGAGCTAAATAAGTAAAGTTTACAAGTGTTAGATTTCTTAATCATATTTTGCAGTTTAGAAAAAGTGAAATATTGTTATACATTTATTAAATACACTTCCCCCCTGCCATAGAAAGGTTAATTTTGCTGAATGTTTTAAGTTGATATTGTATCTATGACGTGCTTTGGCCAAGATAGAAGGGATTGGTTTTTAAGTTTCAGTACCAAAGGTAGTCTAGTCTAAGACACAATAAGTTAATAAGTGTTGGCTTTTCTAATTTGTACTGTAACATCCTTATACTTGCTATTTTAAGTGTATATGTTTCTTAAGTAAACAACTTAGATATTTTTCCACACCTTTTTTTTTTTTCTGATGCAGAGTTCAGGTTAATTAATATTTTACTGCATCTGATAATGTATTATATGTTTGAAGCCTAGTGACTTTGCATTTGGACATTCTTGTGATTTCATATGCTGTATTCTTCAAGCAATAAAATTCTGATGTGTTTTATAAATTGTTTTTATATTTTAATGATCTGTACAGATTAATGGCAAGAGATTTCTATTACTAACACTTTTACTAGTTTCAAGAATCTTAGGCCCAAAAGACATTTTGATAATAATTTGGTATGTAGTACCTGACTTTCTCCTTTGTTTACTGTTATTTTAGAAAATGTGGTTCTACTTGTATTTGTGTAATTTACAGCCCTGGAATCCAGGTATAACAAAGCTAATTAAGCAATGTTTTACTTTCAGCTTTTTTTTTTTAGCATTTAAAAGTCACTCTTTTGTCCGTTGTTATTTTAAAAAATCTTTTAGAGAGAGAAACAAATTTTTAGTGCACTTGAGAATAAAGTTACTGTTTAGTGTTTCCCCCACCTCCTTGAATATATATCTGTCTTTTTCAGCAGACTATCAGATTGTTAAGTGTTGAAAACGCACCAATTTTAAAACTGCACATACCATTCATATGGAGGAATACACAAATAAAGGTTTTCACAGATTAAGCCTGTTCATGTCTCCAACCCTCAGACCAAGACACAGAGTATTATGAGTGCCCCAAAAGCCGCCTTCTTGCCCCTATCTTAACATTGTCCTCTTCTTCCTCCCCAGAAGTAACTACTATTCAGACTAGTAAAACTATAGGTTAGTTTTATTTGTCTTTTATGTAAATGCAATCATATATAATATACAGCTTTTTTGCTCATTGTATTTGTAAGTATACTGGTTTCCTGGTGCCACTATAGCATATTACCACAAACTTAGTGAGGTAAAACAACACAGATTTATTTTCTTGCAGCCCTAGAGATCAAAGGTCCAAAGTCAGTTTCATTACGCCAAAGTCAATGTATAAGCACATTTGATTTCTGAATCTGGAGGTTGTGAGCAGAAAATGTTTTCTTGCCTTTTTTCAGTTTCTAGTGAAGGCCTATCTTCCTTGGCTTGTGGTCCCTTCCTCCATGTTCAAAGCCTCTGCTTTAATCATGGCATCATCTTCTCTTTTTCTATAGTCACATCTTCCTGTCTCTACGGTTAGGGCCCACCTAGATAATCTGCCCATTTCAAGATCCTTCATTTAAATCACATCTGCAAAGTCTTTTTTTGCCATATAAGGTAACATTCACAGGTTCCAGGGATTAGGTCCTGGATATCTTTAGAGGCTATTATTCAACTTCCAGAGTGAGATTCATTTATATTGTTGCATGTATTTGTAGTTCGTTCATTCTAATTGCTAAATAGTATTCCATTAATTTATTCATTTTATTATATCCAAAATTTATTCATTCTACCATTGATGGACATTTGAAGAATTTCTAGTTCTGAGCTATTGTAAATATTGCTGTAAAGAACATTCTTATACATGTCTTTTGGTGAATGTATATATGCATTTCTTTTGATATATACCTGGGAGTGGAATTACTAGGTCATGAGGTATGCATGTTTTCAGTTTTAGTATGTACTTGTCAGTTTTCCAAAATGTAAGAAGGCACCACTATAATGTGTACCATAATAATGAATTATTAATGGTTTAGTGACCAAAGAATGTGAATGGATTTCTTGAAATACCAAAATTATACCAACTGAGTTATACTTGCTACAGCAGGTCTGTTCTTATTTAATATCATATAAGAGGAAAATAAAAGCAAAAGTATTTGTTCTTGTTACTGACACAGTAGTATTATGTACTTATTAGGTTATTGTTCCTCAGAAGAAATGCAGGTTTTAGTTGATCATAAATAGTATGTTAAGTTTATAAATAATACACTTAGTTGTGGAAAGTTCATGATTTAAAATTTTAATTGAATTAAAATATTTTTGTTATAACCTTATTAATGTACATAGGTATTTCCTTGTATCCAAATGGCCTCCATGAAGAATGATCCAATCCAAATAGCATAGGCACTGCCTTCCACTGGATTTTTGTTTTCTTTTCTGTCCCCTAAACTTGGCCCCCTCTGTGTGTCACCTTCCCCCGTGGCATAGAGTATCATGGGTAGGGTTGGCCAGGGTGAAGAAACTGGCAGCATAAGTAGCCTCCTCTCACCCACCCCCACTTGTCATCAATACATCAGCACTGATCTTACCCTATTTCCTCAAAATGAAAGATCTACCCTTAGCATATGTGTTTAGATTTGCCTTTTCCTATAAAGATATAAATAGAAAAGAAAAAGTAGGGAAGCAAAAGTGGCAACTTAACTTATGAGTCATTTCTACCAGAAATCAGGTAACTTAGTAAAATCTTAGAACAGGATTTCTCAGCCTTAGCATTATTGGCATTTTGGCCCAGTTAATTCTTTGTTGTGTGAGGCTATCCTGTGCCTTGTGCAGAGTTGAGCAGCACCTGGCTTACACCAACTAGGTGCCTGGAGCACATCCTCCCCACCTTGTGACAACCCAAAAATGCCTCCAGATGTTGCCAAATGTACCTTGAGGGGCAGTCACCCCCTATGGAGAACCCCTGCCTTAGAACATCCAAGTTTTTACTTAAAGGATAGGGTATTGGGGAAAGACTGAACTGAACCTTTTTTGGAATGAACACGTGTCAGTGGCAAAAGACAAAAAGAAACAGTGACTTGGAGAAAATAGGGCCAGGATTAAAATGTGTTTTCAACAAAGTCAGATCTTGACTTTACATCTGCCGATCCCTTCACCCCCTAAGACCCTAGTCCAGTTCTTAAAAATCTCACCGCTTTGCACCCAAAGATAAAAATTGTTTTTATTGTGGTTAAATATAAAATGTACCTTTTTAACCATTTTTAAGTTTTCTGTTCAGTGCCATTAGGTACATCGATATTGTGTAGCCATCACCACTTTCTCCAGAACTTTTCATTATCCCAAACTGGAACACGGCATCCATTAAACAACTCCCCAGCCTTCTTTCTCCCCCAGCTCCTGGTAACCACTATTCTACTTTCTGTCTCTGAATTAGACTATTCTAGGTACCTCATATAAGTGGAATCATGCAGTATGTGTTCTTTTGCATCTGGCCTATTAGCATAATGCTTTCAAGGTTCATCCATGTTGCAACATCTATCAGAACTTCATTCCTTTTTAAGGCTGAATAATATTCTATTGTGTACATACCACATTTTGTTTGCCTATTCATCTGTCAGTGTCTGAGTTGCTTCCACCTTTTGGCCATTGTGAATAATGCTGCTAGGAACATGGGTATACAAATAACTGTTTGTATACCCATGCATGTTTGTATAACAAGCATGTTTTTTTGAGTGTGCAGATTTATACATTGAGAACTGCAACAAGGAAAGCAGCATAGTATGAATGTATACATATAAAGACACTGTAATATATGATAAATGTGACATGAGCAAAAATGACCAACACTTCGTACTAGATCTTTACATATGTTCTTTCATTTTCTCCTCTCCTCTGTGAGGTAGGTATTGATAGTCCAGAGTGGCAGACTGGTAACACAGATACACCTTTAAAGATAATTGACATACAAGAGGCAGTATTTTCTTTTCTTTATGAAACCTCATATCTATACAAAATGTAGTGAAAATAATATGGTCCATGGCTATTTCCTTTCGATTTCATATTATCTAATATATTTGCTTTTGTATACTTTATATGAATAGCGCTTGTTTGTCAGTGACATGGAGTTAGTAGTGGAGCTAGAAGATTTGACTGAAAAAAATGTTAGTGGAATTGACAAGTTTTTATTGGGGATTAGGGATGGAGAGAGAGAGATATACCTAGTGATGGAGGAAGAAAATGCTTGCTGTAAGGCAGCTAAAGATCCACGGCTAGTAGGGGAAAATAGGACAGGCTCAAAATTGTTCCTTTATGCAAGTATCTTCTAAATAAGTTTGCTTCCTTTATTGTGCCTTTAAAAGATACCATTAACTTTATATTTATGTCACTGTTACTTCTAGGATCTATGTAGTAAGGTGTAGTATGGTTAAGAAGAGACAACAATGGCAATTATTTCAGAAGCATTTATTTGGTGTATTATACAGAATAAGGTGTTTTATAAGTCTAATAGCATTAGGTTTAGATATGCTTTTGAAATATACATATAATAGTAATCTCTATAAAATTTTTTTTTTTTTTAAGATTTCTATTTTTATTTTTTTAATATATCTTTATTGATTTCAGAGAGAGGAAAGGTGAGGGAGAGAGAGAGATAGAAACATCAATGATGAGGGAATCATTGATCAAGCCCACAACCTGGGCATGTGCCCTGACCGGGAATCGAACCCCGATCGCCTGGATCCCAGGTCGACGCTCAACCGCTGAGCCATGCCCGGCTGGGCAAAATTTTCTGTCTTTATTATAAACATTTTATAAGTAAGGAAACAGAAGTTGAGAGAAATTAAGTAATACAATAACCTTTAGCAATTGGAGGCATCAGAATTTGAATCCCAATCTAAGTAGTTCTAAGGACTGTTTTTTCCACTACATCATTCTGCTTCTCCCCCAAAGGTACTTTGAAAACACTGGGATGAATTTTTATACCTTTATTTGAAGGTCATTTTAAAAATTACAAGCCTGCCTGAGGATAGCAAAATTGTGTGCTACTGCAAGATAATTGTAGAGCTCACTCTAAGGAAGCAGAGGTAATGTCTGGTAATATTTTTAGCTTTCTATTTCTGCCCACTGTTGTCCAAATGAGTCACTAGTCACTCAGTGTTATACAGAATATGAACTATAGTTATAGAAGCTATTTCAGAAAGTTGATTTATTGCATAGGCTTTATATATGACCTTTCTTTTGGTCAAAATGCTTATTGAAAAAAAAGTGTCCTGGAGCATTATCTCCCCACCCCTACCCCTTCCCCCCAATCCAGGGGGATTTTAGAATGCTTGAGTTGGAGTTGTAGCCCATTGGAGAAATAAGTGACCCTAACTGTCTCATCTAATGTCAAACACAATTTAAATTATTTTGCATTAAGAAAATAAAACCCTCTCTGTAATAAAGTTGAGAAAACACCAAAAAAAAAAAAGTGACCTCACATTAGGTTTCTAGAATTTCATCCTATCCAAATGTTGCAGAATTTTGGATTTTTTTTGGCGTAAGCTCTCAAAATAATTTCTTCATATCCCAAAAACAAACTATTACACAAATAGGAATCAAGATCTGGTAGCTGTGGCCCACTAATTAGAATTTTGAAATTAAGGATCATGTTCTCACTGGTACTGATGGGTCAGTAGCTGTTAACATATGAGGATAACCTTTGAAAAAAGTGCTTCCTCCACCTTTAACAGTATTCCAGTCATGCTG